AAATACGATTTGACTCATTTGTAAAAAGAGTTTATTTACATCATTAGTAGAATTAGAAGACTTATCTACTTTGTTTTTAATTAGAGGTTTAAATGTTATTTTTGGGGACTATCATCAATAATGATAGGGATTATGAAATTTTAAGAGAAATAATATAATTTATATCATATTATTTTTTTATGGAAATTTATATCATATTATTAAATTAATTAATACATATAATATTATAAGTCTTAAAAAATATAAAAAATTATTAAATAATATAAGGTATATTTTTTAATATTTAAATGACATAATTTATATCACGTTATTAGACCTAAATTTTAATTTTAAATTTTGATTTCATTTATCATTATTCAATAATATTATATATATAATTTATCTAAACTGTATCTTTATAATATAAATCAATAGTACAATAAATATACTTTTTATAATTAATTCATATAAAAATTATAAAAATTGATATTTATTTTAATATCATTGACATGTGATTAATTTTAATTAATTAATTATAAAAAATATTAATCATACTTTTAATTTATATTTTAAAAAATATTAATTATACCTTAAATCTATATCTTAAAAATACAAATTAAAAAAATTCATAGGTAAAAGATACTTGGATTGAGCACTTGCAGCCTTAGTCACGATGGTAGTGCACCAACACCTTTAGCTTCTTTGTCAAAGGTTTAAGCTATCAATATAGTAATATTATAATTATTTTTGTATTATATATATGATTATATTTTAAATTTTATTTATTTTTAATTTTAAATAATAATAATTTTTTAATAAATATATTTTATAATAAATTAAATAAAAGTATTAAAATTTCAATTGCTTTTTAAATTATCTAATATTTATAACTTAAACAACTAAAAGGATAGGGGGAAATTGACCTTTAGAATGGTTCGATCTCAAGTTTTAAGTGTTTAGATGAGTTAGTTGGAATTTTGAGCTTTATCAATATCGTGAACTCTACCAAAAAGTGATTTGATAGCCGCACACCTCATTTTAGGGGTGAAATATTCATCCAATTTAAAAATTAAATATCTAATTATTAATAATTAATTCATACTAACTTCTTAACTAGTATAAAAAAAAAAAAAATACAGGGGGACGAGGCAAAGTAACACCTAGTGCAGTCTTTTACAGAGATGTGACCCGTCCACAAAGATTCCATGAAGACTTCCATGGGGAAATGCATTAGAGATAAGACAGGGAGGAGATAATAAATAGGGCTTTCCATACTTTAAACAGCTTAAAGCTGGTAAGTTAAGTGGTCCGTTTCCGACAATCGATGTTCAAAGAACAAATAATGCATTAATCCAGTGCAAATTAAAACTACAATAAGTCAATACAAGGTTGCAATTGATCATCTGAAAATTACTTAACATAGTGTGCGGGAGGAAAGTTATTTTTTCTTTTGAAATGGGGCAATTATATTGAATAGGCAAAACCCTTTCTTAAGCCTTTAAATTTA